CATGTTACTTCTCGCAGCACTGAAACAATTGTAAGTTAAAGCTCATCAGTTTTGAACGAAGAGTTTTCAGTGCCCAGCGATGAATGCATTATGAAACTTAAAATCCTTACATATTCAACAATTAAATTACATTTTGTTTGTTGCCTATTCTAAAATGTTGATTAAATTCATAGGCTAGAGATTTAATGAATGGTGTTGAGATTGTTATTGCTACACCAGGTCGTCTATTAGATTTCTTAGAATCTCGTGCAACCAATTTGCAACGTTGTACCTACTTAGTATTGGACGAAGCTGACCGTATGCTTGATATGGGTTTTGAACCTCAAATTAGAAAAATCATTCAACAAATTAGAGTAAGTTTTTGTTTTATTTTGTATTTTGTTTGCAAACATCTTGTATTTATTTTATTTATTTTTTATAGCCTGACAGACAAGTTTTGATGTGGTCAGCCACATGGCCAAAAGAAGTTCAAAAGCTGGCCAATGATTTCTTAAGTGATTACATTCAATTGAATGTTGGATCTTTGACATTGTCTGCTAACCACAATATTTTACAAAATGTGGATGTGTGTCAAGAACATGAAAAAGAAGACAAATTAATGGATTTGTTGCAAGACATTGCCAATATGGAAGAAAATAAAACTATTATTTTTGCTGAAACCAAGCGTAAGGTGGATACAATCACACGGAAAATTACTAATATGGGGTAAGTCTTCAACTAATTTTTGTGCTATTTATACACTATACTTCATAATGGGGCTAATTTATATGATGATTATTTTAAATAAAACATACAATGTGTTGTTTGATTTGTCCTCTAAGAAGATCTGAATTTTTGGCCGTTATTGTGATTTTTAGTTATTTATTTTAAAATATAGATACTTATTACTTACTTACATTTTTCTATAACATGATGATTTTATTTAATAAGCATTCTCTGTGTTGTTTACTTTGTCCTCTAAGAAGATCTGAGTTAAGTTATTTTGATAGGTACTAAACTTAAGTAACTTCTATGATATTAGTTAACATTTTCTATAAGATACTACATGATGATTCTATTTACCAAAGCATACTTTGTGTTGTTTTTTGTCCTCTAAGAAGATCTGATAAAATAATGAAATTATGCTAAATTAAGTTGTTTGTAGTGTGTTTTTTTTTTTGGTTATGATCCTTATTTTAATACTTTATTTTTAATTATAGGGCAAGAGCTGTTGGAATTCATGGAGACAAATCACAATCTGAGCGCGACCATGTATTAAAACGTATGTTCTGACAAAAATATTTATTGAATTTAAATTAATGTAAAATACATTTTTAGAGTTCAGAAACGGAAGAGCTAATATTTTGGTTGCTACGGATGTTGCTGCCAGAGGTTTAGGTAATTATTTTGCTCAATTAATTAATATTTGGCCATATTCATCATATTTAAACTTAATTTGTTTTCAGATGTCGATGATGTCAAATTTGTGATTAATTTTGATTACCCCAACAACTCTGAAGATTATATTCACAGAATAGGCAGAACTGGACGGTCATCACAAAAGGGTACCTCATATGCATTCTTTACCCATTCCAACAGCAAGCAAGCAAAAGACCTTGTGGCTGTCCTCACTGAAGCCAATCAACGCATTGATCCCAAATTAGCTGCCATGGCTGCACGTTCTTTCCGTAAGTTACTCTGATCACTTAGGTTTTTTTGATAAGTTCAACACTAATGTTTTAACATTGTTACAGCGAGTGGTGGTAATAAATGGTATGGCGGCGGTGGCGGTGGTGGAAACAGATCTTGGGGTGGTGGAAGACCAGCCCACAGAAAATTTTAAGTGTTAACAGTATTCAGTGTGTATTTAAATGATCAATTTATCAAACTTGACTTCTGGTTGGAAACGATTCTGTTTGATTTGTGTTGTAATGTATGATTGTTCATTCCTCCTTATTCCATCCGAACAATTTCATAAATTGTATTTTAAGAGATTTGACGTTGGAATTAACTAAGATTAAATGAGTTTTCTATTCATTCTTTTTTTTTTTTACATCCCTATAGCTAAGAAACTTAAGTTTTTTGGTGTTTCTGTAGTTATAGAAATAATATTATATTTCTAACGTGTGAAAGTAAATAATTTATAGAGATTAAGTTAATTACTTATAATTAGGTTTCTTACTTTTTTAAATTACAATTCTTTAAGATTAGTAATATATACAACTTTTTAATGAACCTATCAATTGTAATTTACATGAGTAATAGCTTAGTGCTTTCACCAATATTATTCATATTTATAATTTTAACTGTTTGTATTGATCTTTCATTGTGAGTGGAATTTTCAATAATAATAATAGTCTGTATGTATGTATCTACTAGTTTCTGACTTAAATGATATTAACCTGCACAGTATTCTGTTAAATGATTTACATTTATTAAATTTATTGTCTCTTCCGAAACAATATTCTGCTGTAAGATTACTAAATACATTTTTGTTTATGTATGGTGAATATATTTTAATAAAATATATCTATTTCAATCATTTATATAAGGTTATTTTATTCTACCATGGGTGTTAAAAAGAGTTGATCTTCATGTAGTTGTGGTTGAGTATAGTAAGGCGCATTGTGAGCACTTGTGTTCTGACGCACAGTGTACTCCGTGTAGTTATACATGTTAAGAATTTTTTAGGATAGCCGACTGCAGGATAATATTAAAGTTGGCAGCCATATGCCAATTTAGACAAAATTGCATGGTTGATATGTATGTAACATAAATATGTATCGACATTTTATCAATTGAGCAATTTTGTAAACATTGGCCTGTTGACATGTGTAGTATGTACCCTCGACTTCAACATTCCTGTGGGAATGGAATATGCAGTCTAATTATTTTATATAAATAATTGGACATAACAGTGTTGTCAATGGTGATCCAGTGGAGGCCAATAAGTGTACCTGTAATGACTTGACTCATATTAAGTAGGTCTAACTATATTTGACATAGACGTGGCCTATCCATGGATACTCTTATGTTAGTTCCTGGAACACTGCTAATTAATCAATAGTGGTAGCAGCGGTGGATACAAGGGGGGGGGGGGTAATTGGGTAAACACCCCCCTTTGGCTTATTCTATTCAAATTGATTACGTTATGACAATGATAAATACTAGTTCTAACGATAATAACGCACACACTACGAAGAATGGTGATATTAAAAGTATGTTATTAACTAAGAATAGTATCTATTAGAAACGTATTAGTGACCCCCTTCATTAATTTCTGGATCTCCCCTGGACGGTGGTAGCCACCATCTATTGGTTTGAGAGGTTTTCTTGAAATATGACGAGACACGATTACGTCTATAAGTTGAAATAGTCCATGTTATGTCAAGAAAAAATGTGGAACGTTCTAGATGTATAATAAATTTTATTCTTGTGTCAACTGCTATTTGTGTTCTAAACAGTGATATTATTAGGCATCTGGTATGGGCCATGGTCGCACTGCCCGACAGGTGCGCATATAAACGCTACAGATGAACAGTATGCAACAGTCACGATATGATCATGCAAATTTCACTGAATGTCTGTGTTAGTATTTCTATACATAATAACATTTTAAAAATATGAGTCGTAGTGAATTATTTATAGGCAAATGAAATATTCGATTATTCGTTTTTTTAAAGCTTATGTCACTAAAAAAATTGATCCAATACAAGGTTCCTTGTAAGTTGTTGGTAGTAGAAATTAAAAAAAAAATTATGATAAATGCATAATAAGTTTTTATGCGCGTTTGAATCAAGGATTTATACATAATCACTAAAATCAGCAAATTGTTTAAGTCAGAAGTTCATAAAAAATTGTAATATATATATCTTAGATTTTAAAATTCAATACAAGATTCCCTAAAGTTGGTCTACCTTTATCAAAAATATAAAAATAACTATTTAGAAAAAATGTTAAACGTTTGTCGTTTATTTATACAAGCAATTTCTGAGCACCATAATATTTCTAAATTGTTCGTATGTTTTTGAGTTAAAAATTAAAAATATATAAAACAACTTTTATAGCTTAACCCTTTCAGGACCGTCTGTCTACGAAAGGTTAAGATTGATGAACTAATACAAGGTTGTACTAACTTGGTTAATTCTGTAATCAAATAAAATTTAAACACGGTTTTTTTTATAGTTATGTTAAGTTTAAATTTAAAAAAAAATACATATTAAACCAAGTTATTTTATTATAATTTATAAAACTAGTATTTAATGGTAGTTGCAATTTCTTAAGTATGTTATTATATACAAATATGATAATAATATACAAATAATATTTATCCAGCTTACCAGTTACCGGCTATGTACCGTATTAATAATAACAGTGTGAATATAATACAAAATATTTAAATATCCTAGGCTGATAAACCGTCTCCTTTCAGAATCGTTTTCCGTATACATTGATATTATATTATCATTGAATTAAAATTTAATGCAATCCATTATACAGTGATCCACTAGGCCTCTCATTTGTAACCTACTTTACAATAAAATGACATCAGCTTTTTTTTTCCTATAGGACTTTAGTTCATAAATCATAAGATGTCCTATCACAGATATATTAATTATTAACTAATAATAAATAAACTTATAACTATTAACTAATATACCATAGCTGCCAACAGACCAATTTTTTTTTGTGTTGAGTGCTCGGCTTTAGAACCATAATATGTATAATTTTTTTTATTGGTTCATTCATCACAAATTTGAAATTTGGCACGGATTGCAAACTCTTAGTATTTTCAATTACTATATAGGTATTTTGCTTAATTTGACGACCCATTCGGGCCATTTCACAGATTAACTCTTAGATCACATAATATGATATATCAATTTAGGTATAATATATCTGTATTATGTGATCTAAGGATTAATTATATGATAACGTTACTTTATGATAAGAAGCGCTTGTCTGTTTTGTGGGTGGCCGTGAGAGCGCGTGTGTGATGGTCCTAATTTCTTATCAGTATCCATTTTCATAAAAATCTACATGGACGGTGGCGGCGGTCTAGCGAGCGCCGAGGCCGAGCACTAGCCACTAGCTGCTGGCGCCTAGCAGTGACTAAATGGTGTGTAGTATTAATTTGTTCTAATATTTGTTGTTTAAACTTTTGTAGTAGTAATAAATAATAATAATACCGTCGTAGTCGTAACTGTGCGTTTTGTCTTGTGATTATTATTTGTTGATAAACAAAAACTTATCGATACCGAAAACATCGGCGTGAAACCGACGTAAAGAACGTCTTCTAACGTGAGGGAGGTCCCATGCTAGAAGGGTTGTTCACGAGACGACGATGGATATCCTAACCAATCACGATCGTGTCCGTCCGAAACTCTGAGAGGCCGCTCTTCAGGGTAGGTCGGTGGTTGTGGTCGTCGTCGGGGTGTGTCTGCGAATCGCGGCATCGCGCAGACGATGCAACACAGTAGCGGCGTGATCGGCAAACCGGACACGGTCAGACCGGCCAAGCATAATGGTGGCAACATCGCTGGTATGTATGACTTGGAGCAGACGCTCGGTAAAGGTCACTTTGCTGTCGTTAAGATGGCTAGGCATGTGTTCACTGGTGAACAGGTAGCTGTCAAGGTGATCGACAAGAACAAGCTGGAAGAAGTCTCTCGTAATCATCTGTACCAAGAGGTTAGTGCCATTGGGTTGTTTACTCGTATTATTGTTGGAGTTATGTACTAGTACGTATGTATAGTTCTAATAGGGTGTCTCGTCAAGATATTTCTATTGATGTTGTTACCGACTAATGTCTGTAGAATGCTACTATTTTACCTTGACAGGACAACAAACTGTTGCTGTATGTTCGGACTCACCACTTCTATGATCAACATAATATAATATAGTATGGATACCCCTTTATATTTTTCTGCTTGATCCAATTTTGTATTTTCTGTTATTCTATCTTTCTCTCGATATTCTTCTTGGTAATTTTTATTTTTTAAACAGTTGTAGAACTAGCTATTATTGTAACTATTCTGCTGTTAATCAGAAAATATTATAATTTTATATACTTATGTTGTAGAAATACTGTCTACTTTAATTTTCCAATGATGTTTAGGGCAAATGTATCTTTAGTTAATAGTATTTAATTATTTAAAATTTTATGTGGGTATAAATTATCACGAGCAATTGATAATTTTATCATTTTAGTATTATTTTATATACAACATATATATTATTTATGTAAGGTAATTTTATTACTTATTGATTTCAGAGATAAGTGATTTCTATCATTTTTATTCTTTATTGTGTGGATAGGTATTGTAATTTATTTTTTATTGATAATGAATTACAAAATTACCAGTTATAGGTATCCATTGAGTAACAAATTAATATTCTTTTGCAATTATAATTGGTATTGATTGTCTTAGCTTTAGATATATAATCAACAAGTTTTTAACAAGTGTGTAGTTAATAATTATAATAATTTATGCAGATACTAGATAAGTAAAAAAAAAATTATTTAAGTGGTGAATATTGTTACCAAATGCTTTAGATACGATTGTTTTAATCTTGTTACAACTGCTATCTTTATTACATAAGCAGGTACTTTTAATTTTTAAGAAGTATAAAGCAAATAATAAATAGTAATTGAATTATTAATGAATATATTTATAAATAGTATATTTTTTAATCGATCAGAGTAGTTTCTTTTTATTAGTATCAACTATTTAAGTCACTAAATTCAAAAGTTCAATTATGTTGAATTTAATGGCATAAAGTAGTAGACCAAAAGTAGTATTTTATATGCTCATACCAATTTAATATTGCTTATAATAATTATTTATTTCATTCATTTTATATAAATGTTTTAACTACTTATAGGTAATTAATTTAATAGTGTATATTTCAAAATTAAATGTAATATTCTCATGCATTATAATATTTGATAAGTACATTATGATAATGACAGTTAAAATATAATTTTTAGTTAATTAATAGTTTTTGTTTTTTTTTTAAATTAACATATTTTTAATTTTAATGAATGTTCACAAAATGTCAAAATGTATATTTTATTGGAATAATTTATAAATTACCTATTAAAAATAATGATTAAACTAATGCATACTATAACTCATACATACTACCTACTACATTAAATATTTTCCAATTAAGTAATGATAGAAAATAAATTGACAATAATAGGTTGATGACATAGTTTGTTTATTTATAATTATTTTTGGTTAACATTATGGATAAAAGTATTAAGATCTATTTTTTAACAGGTTCGATGTATGAAACTAGTGCAACATCCTAATGTTGTGAGATTATATGAAGTGATTGATACACACAGTAAATTATATCTCATACTTGAGTTAGCTGACGGTGGAGATTTATATGATTACATTATGCGACACGAAGGCGGATTGTCTGAGCAATTGGCTTGTGAATATTTTGCACAGATTGTACGAGCAATATCATACTGTCACAAACTGCATGTTGTCCATAGAGATTTAAAACCTGAAAATGTGGTATTTTTTGAAAAACAAGGAATTGTTAAACTTACAGACTTTGGGTAAGTTATGTTGTTTGTTTTATAACCACAGCATATTGTTTATTGTTTAAATATTTGGAAATTAACAGAAATATTCCTTATAGTTTTAGCAATACGTTTTGTCCGGGTCAAAAATTAGAAACGTCGTGTGGTTCTTTGGCTTATTCAGCTCCTGAAATTTTGATTGGGAATTCATATAATGCTACTGCTGTTGGTGAGAACAATGCTTGATTTTTTTTACCTATTCATTTTATATTTTATTATGATTTCTTGGATTTGAAGTTCAACAGAACAGAAGAATTTCACGATTTTACTTTTAAATGTTAGGGATTTAAGTGTCACTAATGGGTGATTGCAACAAAAATGTATTCTCCACTCGTCACATTGTATATTGGCTATGCAGTATGTATATAATATACACTATAGATCAGTGGTCGCCAAACTTTTGAACCTTGCAGACCACTAAAACCATATTCTAAATTCTACGTATAGATTTTTACCTAAAAACCATTCCACTAGTGATATATTTTACATCAAATTAATTAAAAAAAATACATACATAAAATAATAAAGAAAGTTTTATTTTTATTTATTTTCTTAATATTTTTATGCATACATTTTGATTGCATGGCATTAACTTTGATTTAATTGAATCTATGTACAATTAAAGCATTATTAATGTCTAAAATATCTAAATATTTGATTTATTATTAATTAACAGCGAATGATTTTATTTTTACTTTTACTATCATAAATATGAAATATTTTTATACTAGATTATTTTATTCATTTTATAATGACCCAGATTTGAAAGATATTTAGAAATCGATAATCATGTACTCTGTTATTTGTTCTATCAAATATACAAATTTTGGATATTATAGTTAATTAGCTATCATTATGATGTTCAATTAAAAATATAATTATATAACTTGAGTGCAGATTTGTATGCACTCAAAATTATCAAAACATGACTTAATATGCAGTTATAATCGTGAAAATATGCTACAAATATCTAAAAAAAATATTTTTAACTGGGAAAAATACTAGAAAAATGCTCAATTTTAATTTAATAATAATTATTATTAGCTTTTAAATTGATGAAGTGTTACAATTATTTAAAATAAATTAAACAACTTATAATTAGGTATCTACTTAGTGAACTTATTCTTTCAATTAATATTTAGTACCTTCAAAATTTCTTTTTGGATTTTCTACTTGACAAAAGATTATTATAAGTTTTTTTTTTTTTAATTTTTGCTGTAATATGTAATAACTATTGAATATGCAGTAATATGCTAAAAAATTGCCATTAGTTTCGGACTATTATGTTTTATAAAAATTACTGACAACAATTTGAAAATTTGAAAATTTAAAAATATTTAACAACATAAAAATCCATGGATAATTTATCGATAAGATTATAATTATTATTAATATTTTGTTTATAATATATTGTATTGTAGATATCTGGTCGTTGGGTGTAATTTTGTATATGTTGGTATGTGGTGAAGCACCATTTCATTCAGCTAATGACAGTGAAACTTTGACAATGATTATGGACTGTAAGTACAAAGTGTCCAGTCATGTGTCTGAAGAATGTAAAACACTCATTGGTCGCATGCTAGTGCGAAATCCCGAGAAACGAGCAAATCTTGACGAGATCGCTGCAGATGTTTGGTTAAAAGATGTCAAAGTGATAAATGACGATGAGAGTCCGTTGGTGTCCAAACAATTAATTAACGATGATGACCATGCATTAATTGTTCAAAAAATGATAAGTGGAAAAATTGCAACAAAAGAACAAATTGTGGAGTAAGCTAGCAACTCATAATTCTCCTTTAATCTTTATATCCAAATATATTATATATAATTTTAAATTAATATTTTTATTATTATTTTAGGGCCTTAGATAAAAACGAGTATAATCATATAACGGCTACTTATTATTTACTCGCAGAAAGAAAATTGAAGTCGGCAACACCAAAAAAATCTCAAACTATTAAAAAGTAGATGTGTTATATTTAATTAATACTTTTCTCCTTTGTTTTTAATATTTTTTTATTTTTCCAGTGATATGAATGTTTCTCAGTTAAATGTAGTTGATAATTCTAACCAAAATAATGCTCCGGTGGTAGTCAATGTTGCGCCTAAATCTGCTACATTAGCATCGTTGCATTCTGATCGTCCTAAAGTAATGAGACAAATTCATCATCTCTTTATTAAGTATTTTTAATTGTTTCATTGTTTATTTTACAGAGAACACGAAAGTGTAGTGTTGTAGTTGAAGAAGAAGATGAAAAGGAAGACGAAGAAGAGGATGATGATAATAGTTCATTAAATCGAAGAGGCTCTCGGTCAGAAGGAAAATTGAATACAATAGCTTCTGAACTAAGAACAAAAAAACTTTTGATCACTGAAATTCATGAAACAAATCCAACATCTGGTTCTGTTGTGTCTAACAAAATCCCACCACCTTTTGTGTCGTCTCACAGTTCACCGCAGCTACTTCTCGATGATAAGCAAAATAGAATCGGCAATTATATAACATATGAACAAAGACGAAGCAAAATGCATAAAAATCGCACAGCATCCTGTAGCAGCTCTGAAACTAGTGATGATGATACTGATGGTCGTAAAAAGCGAGGCAGTAGTAGGTCATTGGCTTCATTTAAGGGTAATGATAAGGATCCTGATAATGATGGAATGGGAAATGCTGGTGGGCAAGGAACAGAGCCATCACAAGAACATAACACTGATGATCAAAAAAGAGATGAGAATAGTGGAAATAAAACAGAACGACCAAGTGGAAGTACTGCAGGCAGACGGCGATGCATAAGTGCGAATGTCAGAAGTCGAAGGGGTAGATCAGCTGAAACTAGATTAAGAGAAAGTCAAAGTTTGAATCGTATCACTGAAGTCCAAGAGTCTGAAGTAAACACCCCCAGTTCAACCGCCAACTGCGATAGCTTTGAATTCATCAATAAAAACTGCCAGGTGAGAAAAGCCTTATTTAATAAATATTAAGACAAATTATTCATATGTATTGTATTTATTTTAGGTGGCTGTGGATAATACCGTTGCCGATAAAAACCCTGCAACCATATCAACTTTACCCCAATATAAAAAACACCAAACGCCTAAACGTATCTCTTTGTTTAGTAAGTATTTAAATTTACAAAAAAAACTGTGTACACAAATTCTGTTTAGCAAGAAGAACACCGATAATCGTTTATACAAGGCAAAATCGTGTTCAGAAATGGCTAACTCCAAAATTGCCATAAGAGAAGTGAGTGCAGACAGGTGTTGATCCCTTCTCAAGCACTGCACAACAAATGTATTATTATTTAGTCCAGGTGTATTATGTCAAACAATACTTTAATTTATTACCTTTTTATCATTGAATTTCCACAAGAATATTATTTCTAAATTTATATGGCTCTTATTAGTGATATCATATAATATGATGACACTATAACAATGATTTTTATTTAATATGACTTGCAACACAATATTCCCTAAAAACTAATCTGTTACCGAATAAATGGATTTTCTATTATAATTATTAACTTGTTTTAGTTTAGAAATATTTTTTTTTAAGAAAATTAAATTTGTTAATTTTTAACCAAAGTTAATTTTTACACGCATATATTTTTATACATGAGACTTGCTTAAATGTGCAGTACAATTATTAAGACGCACATTGAACTATTTGTTTTTTGTTTTTAAGTTTTTAGTCAATACCAAATTGTTATTATTTTTGATTGTATAATATATTGAATATATTGGTGAAAAGGAGAAACAATAAGATTTTACTAGATAATTAAAGAAATCAGACTAGTCAATTTTATCCTCAATAAAGGTCACAAAGAAATCAATTTGTTTTATATATTATTTAATTTAATTTGTTGTTTAATTATTATTATTATTATTATTATTATTTTTGACTAATGTTTAAAATTAAAATATTTAATAAATAATATCTCTATAGTTGAATGTTACATACAAGTAGACAAATAGATAATATTTAATATTTATCAATGTATTTTATTGCTATCCACAAAACACTATTACCACTGTTTATCGGTTGTGAAAACACTTAACGATGAACATAAATATTTATTTATGTTTGAGATCTTACTTATATCATGATAACCGTTCTGTTAGCAGAATATCATTGATACTAACAACAATAAAATACTTTTTTTTTTTACCATGGGCATAAATATTAGAAAAATAGTGCCATATTTATTATATATACATTAATAATTAACAATTATACACAATATATAGATAATTTTATTATTGTTAACATAATAATTTTGTATACCAAAAACTAAAGTATGTTATTATAAACACAAAACAAAGTATAAGTGTGCAATATATTTACTATATATATTTTAGAAATTTGAATAACATTAAAGTTGACAATCGAAGGTTTTAACTTCTTTTCTGTTACGGAAATAACTAGTTCATAAGTTCATTAGAATTTTTGTTTTTAATATGATGAATATCAGTATAATATAACGGTCTGAGCAAATATTAAACTACTCTAATGGTAATAATAACCGTTTCATATTAATTATGTTTTCTTCATATTTATTAGTCGCGTTGTTTATGTTTTGTATTATTATTAAGGTAATTACTTATTTATAATATTACATTTTTTTTTCATGTATGTGAACTCATAACATTATGTTGGTTGCAAGCTATGAATATTGATTATGTTTTAACGAAATTGAACTGGTTGTGATTATTATGGAATTATAATATACTATGAATATTAAAAAACTTGTTTCTATTCAATCTAAATGTAGTTTATTTTTGTTGTACCTAAAAATCCTGTATATGTCCAACTCTTGTCACTTGTAAGTATAGTAATTTATTAAATTATAACTTATAAACATGTTCCATATTATATTCTGTAGTTCACTTTATTCCACTTTAAGGGCAATTCTCACAATGTCCTGTTAAGGGTTGGTTTATGCTAACCTACTGATAACAAATTTTATTAAGTGCAGAATTTTACCGGTTAAATGTCCCTTTACTGAAGATATAGTAAGAATCAACTTAATTGCAACAAATAATCTATTGTATCATTGATTGCTGTATCAATATTATAAATTCAATGATAGTATTAACTAGGATTAAATTAAGTATATTCCATGGCATATTCTTCTTAGTATGACTGAATTTTTTTTTATAAGCCATTTATGATTCATCACTTAATTCCAACACTAAGACAGTAATTCTAAATAGTTAAGTAAGAATTTTACATTTTCAAGTCAAATAATAGACAAGTTTATAATTTTTTTTTACCCGTTATATAAACATACAAGATTTAAAATATGATGAAAAACCCATTGACAAATTTTGTTCGACTTCAAAAATCGTTTAGATTTCTACAAACATCTTTGTTCAGTACCAATAAGGGTCATGTGCTGATTGGTAAAGTATTTCTGATAAAATCTACTCTATTATAAAAATCTTTTTAAATTAATGTATAGCTGGAGGAACTGGATTTATTGGCAAAAATTTGAGAGAATTTTTGTCGAAAGAAAATTACAAAGTCACAGTAATATCTAGAATTAAGACAGGAGAGAAACACATCATAAATTGGGTAATATTGCATTATTTCCAAATTTTAAACTGTATACTTTTTACTTATGCGCATTGTGTGTTTTGTAGGCAGATTTAATAATTAATGGCGTACCAAATAATGTAACTGCTGTGGTCAACTTAACCGGCGAGCCTATCATGGTTCCTTTCAAAGATTTTGGAAATAACTATAAAAAAAAAATTTGGACTAGTAGAGTTGGTTCTACAATGTTACTTACTGATATCATAAATTCTGCCAAATGCAAACCGAATGTGTTTATTACAATCACGAGTACTGGTACTGTGTGTGGATGTTAATAAAAAACTAAAATTATAATAATTTAAATTTACAAACAGATATATATTCATCAGATGGAGAAGTCCACACGGAAAAATTTATTCCTACAGACCAGATGGTGGACTGTAATTTCTTCAGTAGATTAGGAACAGATTGGGAGCAAGCGTCAAAGTATTTTCCCTTTCGTAAGGTATCAATTAGAACAGGTATGTATGTGTAATGTTATTATAACTTGATATATAATATGTTGCGTAACTATTAAGTATTTTATAATAATTATAATTCACAATATTATACATATTTATAGTATTATTTTAGTTTAAACCAATCAGATTTATTCACTAGTTTTATATTAATTAGGAACTGTTCTTGGTGACAATGGTGGATTTCTCAAATGCTTGAAATACCCCACTGCTATAGGTGTAGGGGCTCAGATTGGAAACGGATGTCAGCACCAGCCTTGGATACACATCTGCGACTTATTGAACCTTATACTATTTTCAATAGAAAATGATAAAATAAGTGGAATATTGAATGGGGTATCACCAAAGGTAATATTATTCATTAATTTAATGTATATAATAACTACTAACCTTTCAATTTTAAACTAAAAAAAACAAATTGCAAAAACCCTTCTAGTTCATCTGACAATTTGCAACCTATATGATTTCATAAAAACATAGCAGAGTACAGAATAATTTTAAAAGGAATCTTCCTCAACACATATTTTGTTTAAAATGTTAGATTATGGGTGCAGCAAATGAGTATTATATTTTTTTTCTGGAAGTACCTTCAGCAAAGAAAATGTTCCAACCATCTTTGAGGTAGGTCTTATGTCAGAAAATCGTACCTTTTTTTTACTGAGATGGGTCGAAAGTCAAAAACAAATTAACCAAAAACTAAAAATAAATACAAATATTTGTCAATGTTATGATTAAAAATATAATTGTTTGGTTATTCAAAAGTAAGACCGTATTTAATAAGAATCGTTCAATCTAATTCAAATATTTGTAATAAATCTTTAGTAATGATCTATAAAATGACTGGGTACAGAAAACACCTATTTACTAGATAGGTAGTAGGTTATAGAAGCACAGTACCTAAGCTAATAAGTTGTACATTTTACAAGCAATAAATAATAATTAAAAAATTAAGCATGGAGAAATTTTCAGGGTGTGTAGCTACAATACAAATTAAACAAATAGCTTTTATAAAATCATAAGTGTTGCTGAGTGCCTAGATGAACTCTGTGGGTTTAATTTAATCTATTTAACCAATTTTAGGGTTTAACAAATGGAGAATTAACTACTATTTACACACATCTATTAAAAAAGTCACCAGTGGTGTTAAATATACCAAGAATGTTATTGAAGGCAGCGTTTGGAGAAGAAAGGACAAAATTAATGTTGGAAGGAAGAAAAGTATTACCAATAAGAACTTTGAATTATGGATTTAAATATAAATATTGTGAAATCAATGATGCCTTAAAAAACATATTAGGGCAATGATAACAAATTTAATTTTTAAAAAGAACTTACCTTGTAAAATGTTAACAATTCTCATAAACAAATCAAAAAACCATTGAAGTGTACATTATTCCAAATTTTGTAGTGCAATAAAAAAAACTATTACTCTGAACGATACTTGCCTTGTTAACCACTATTCTTTAAGAACACCATCATATTAGATTTATATTGAATAACCACCATTGATGTAAGCTCAATCAGGATTTAGCCTGGATTAAGCACATTTTTGTTGAATAAATTCATGTAGTAATTCATTCAAGTACGCCATGACAGCATATTAAACACTTCAAATATTTTTCAGAAATTCTACCATTTATCGTGCTATTTGAGTTAAACCATTAAAGCTATATTATAAGTGTTTAAATGGGGCGAATCGTAGTTAGGAACTAAGAAATTATAAAAATCCGGCCCTAAAACTAATGATTAATAGATTTTACATGTATAGTTATAATATTGGTTTTTCATCACAAAATACATGCATAATATTAGCACAATCATTTGGAACGCATGGTTTACCTAAAACTTGTAAGTTTTAAGTAATTAGATACTCGAACTAGTAGTCATTTACCCACCGCTTCCGTAAACTTGGTCTAATGTACTCTAATGTTAAACCGAAGTTTATAAGATTCACCAAACGTAACATGAATACTATAATTGGAAAAATTTAGTTTGAGAGACGATTGTTTACATAATATATTGACTTAAATTGAACCCTGAACAAATCTGATTTTGATCTATTATAATTTATTTGATCATTACAAAAGAACCAAGTTTTACCAGACCACCTCATCAGATAACCTAAAAATTACATTTTTGAAATTGAGGTTCGAAAGAATTCAAATAAAAAAACAATTGGTTTATACGTTGAACAGAGTGTTTATTACTGTTTAGATGAATCAATATAAAAGTTACAATATCGTTTAATGTTTACCAAAACATGACAATATGTCCGGAGCAGGCCACGAGGTTTACTTGGACCTTGCACGCATCTTCCTCCTCTTACGCTTCAACCTACGCATACGCTTCTTACGCCACTTAGCCCTCATAGTCGGGCTAACGACAAATCTATAAACATAAACAAAAGGAGATATTAAAGAGACTATCGATATACACTTGTCAAGAACACGTGTGAAGGGTCAAGAGTAACCTACATAAAAACCGATTATCGAAAAAAATGAAGCTATTAAAAAGAAACGGGTGAAACAATTTATTGTTAAAATATAGTACGATCAAATGGATCGAACGTTGATGGAACACGAAGTTGAGAAATAATATATAATAAAACATCCAGATACTTACCAAAGACGAGAAATTCGGAGCGGAACGGAGAGTTCTGCTTGATTCAGGAACAAATTTGTTTGTGAACGATGTGACGATGACGCCGTGGAACGAGCCCGAAAAATGTCTTGCCGACAGTGCTGCCAACATGATAATCGGTGATTTGAGGTTATGTATGCATTAGCGAAACGTGGAACTGAAATAAAAATGTATCGGCCAAGGAAGAAAATTGTGAACGCCACAGGAGTCGGGCTACGTTGGCTACATTGCATTTCATGATGGTTGCTCAGACTGGTACAAATTTCCTGATTTTGATGACAACTGATAACAGCGAACCTGATGAGAAAAAAAATAAAAGGCTGAATGAATAATGATAAATACGCAGAAGTATAGAATTATATAGGACCATGATTATGGCACGAACTATGACAAAATAGATATCTTAGTTTGTGAATATGGGTAATGCCTCCTATAAATAGTGTTATTCCTCTATGATTTAATAACTTGTATTATGTATCAAGGATAGCAATAAAGAGTAATGATAATCATATTGTAATTGTGTAAAAAATAGTAAAAACGATTAAATTATTGTTTGAAGTCCAAAGTTGATTAGCAATTTTGTTTTGTCACTGATTAGTTCTATAATTTTCCTTTAAAATTGTTAATATTAATCTGATCATGATTTCGATGAGCCGAAATTATTCAATGACAAGTAAAGGGAGAGTGTTAATCGGTATGTAATTAATGTTGGTTCATCAATTCAAAATAAAAAATAAATATATATGTACTGTATTTATGTATATTGTATACTTTCATGTAGTCTGTTTATATTTTTTGCCATATATGTGCCATTTAGTAAATTATTATGTCTTGCGAGTATGTTACCTAATATTTTAAGTTGTGCATTTGTTGTCAATAAGACTGATAAATGTATGTCGATTCACAATTGTTTAATTATAATATTGAAATTGTCTGAGATAGTAAGAATCTTTACATTACTTTAATGTTCCAAATTTTACTTTTGTTGCTTAAACTGTTAAGAGTTAAATTACTTGAATATTAGTCATGATTGACCTGGTCTAATTAATTTATTTGATGAGTTACCATGATTAAAAATAATGGTAAATTATATAATTGAACACACGAAAATATTTTAAGGAATTCATATAAAATAATCTCGAGTGTCTGCCTATCATTTTTGTTATTATTTTAGAATTGTTCCAGTTGAAAATATTACTTCATATTTAACGTATTGGCAAAGTATAAGAATTGTACACATTTCCTTGCTTAGCTATCCGAACAAATTTATAAGTTGAATCAATTTTTTTACCCATATTAATTCAGTTATTAGTTTATTACTTATTATTGATGAAGAAGTCAAAACGTACAAACTTAGCAAATTTGTATTCAGTGGAATCCATTTTGTGTTGTTATTTTTAATATCACCGTAAATTTAAAGGCAAAAAATATTATCTTGGTCTCATATCGAATTTTCTTTATATATTAAATTCAAGGCAAGTTAAGAGTATGAAAAATATTATAATTTCAAAGAGCTAATAAATTGTAATAACATTTAAATATAAAAAAAAACAGCTAGGTAATACTCATAGCTGTAAATTTTCTGTAATTTTAAGACTATGTAATATCACAAATTTAATTCTGCCCAACCCATATTTACTGTATTGTAGATTTGTAAGACATACAGAGATAGTAGATACATACTGACATCACAATTGTCTTAATGGTGGTTTACTTCTTACTGATATTTTGACATTAACTTTATTTATTTTTCAGGAGGTGGAACAGGATTTGTTGGAAAGTACTTGAAACAATACCTCAAAGACCATAATTATGATGTTACTATCATATCTAGAAAAAACAATCAGTCTAATAAATCTGATTCTGTTATAAGCTGGGTAAAAACCAAATCAAATCAAAAATAATAATCTTAAGTTTTTAAATATCTATGATTAAAATTTTTTTTATTTATAGGATCAAGTAAAAAAAAATGAAATTCCACTTGATACAGTAGCTGTTATCAATGCAGCCGGCGAACCAATTCTTGAACCTACACGATTTTGGACCAGCAAGTTTAAAAAATCTGTATGGGATAGTAGAGTATTGACTAATCAATGTCTTGTGGATGCAATCAATAAAATGAATACACAAAAACCAAAATTATTTGTATCATTTTCCGGAGTAGGTGTGTTTCAATTAATTTCATAATTGTACTGACAAATTTTAATTCATATGTTTGCTGTTGATGGCATTAATCATTGTACACCAACTAAGGTTTAAATCTTAGGGGGTGTTACAATTATGAATCGCTCATATTGCTGTACCCTTCAACATTAAATATTACCCATATTTAGATTATACAGATATTATATTCACAATGCCATTATAAGAAAAAAAATTAAAGTGTTAAACATAATTTTCCATTAATAGTTAGTGGCAAATATGTTCAATATTTTGTCTGGAACAATTTGCCATAATTAGTGAGGTCACTCAGAATACTTATAATACCGAAATAAAACTGCTGTAATATAATGCTTTGCACACAATTTTTCTATTCTCATAGAGATAACTGCTCGCTTGTTGCAGAACCGACTGTGATGCTTAATGGAACTTGCATTAATTTGTACAAATTCAGAACTACTCTGTTTATAATTTCTTTGATGTCATTATTTCTGTTATTAGACATTTTTCCTCTACAAGCATTTCTAATGTTAAGCACTCAGTGTTAAAATTTATTAAGACCTGAAATCTCTATCATAGAATAGTACCATTATAAAAATCATAAAAATGTTAAAACGTTACTTATTTAATGTATGCCTCATAAGTTATAATGATCAATAAAATGTTGACTATTTTCATAATCCATATTCATAAAATGATTAATGACTTTGGCCATTTAAATATTTTCCTTTGAAAACTTAAACTTTAAATTATTAATAATTGTAGTAATTGAACGGTAAATAGTACGTCTTCAATATGTTTCAATTGATTCTGACATATCTTATTCTTCATAGTTAACTTCAGTTGTGGTCTCCAAATGGAAATGTATTAAATTAAATTTTTTGTTTTGACCTCGGCCAACTTCTGCACATGGATGTGGCTTCGTTCCGCAGTGCTAGCTTAACGTGTCTATAGGCGAGAGAAGTGTTTTTCTGTCACTGTCAAAAACTGGTCGCTTCTTAACATGATCAGAGTATAGAAACTCACTGATCGAGATGAGAAAAGTCCAATGTTTTTGAAAATCGAAATTTCATTTTTTCACAAAATTGTACAATTTTTAACTTCTGAAAATGCATTATCTGTTCTCATATTTTGTAATGACTCATTGACACTATTAACAATAATTCCAGTCTTCCCTAATGTAGCTGTTTTGGATTATAGTGTTATACTGAGTATTGAGTATGTTTATAACCTCTAACACATCTCTTAAAATAATGACTAAAATACTTTAAATTGACATTTTGTAATTTTATAATAATATTATGTAATCAAAATGCCATAAAAAAACCAAATTATAATGAATTATTAACATTAAAATTACTTCGTTAAAACTGTGGATATTGAAACTTCAACTTGGAACGTGGTGGAGGGGGGAGGGCTTAAAATGAAGTTTGGAATACTTACCCCTAAGAACCCACATAGTTGTGCCACAGATGCTAATTGATATTATAATTATATATATTTAGTTAATTATTGGTAGCTTGCTTATTATGCAAGTTTACATATTATAAAAGAATACACCATAACATGGTCGGCATTAAAATTAAACTTAGTTTTTTTGTAAGGATCACAAATAATAATTATTTATTTATTTTATAAGTACAAGCAAGTTAGACATCAATATTATTATTTTAGAATTGTTGAGAATTAAAAAAAAACCTATTTTAATACTTCACAGTAATAATTATATATAAATATGATCATAGCAAACATGTTAATTTATTATATATATGAAATATTTGTATTATTTTTCAAAATGTAATAATGATAATTTATATCATAAATTAATAAAAATGATGTTTAGTTAATTTAATTAAAATTGTTTGTTTGTTGTAACACAATCTAATGTATGTTTTTTGATTTAATTTTTAGGAATATATCCACCAAATACAGATAAGTGTAAACCATATACAGAAAACTATGATGTTAAAGAATTTGATTACTTATCAAAATTAGCAATTGGGATTGAAAAAAGTGCTATACCAAAATCAGAAGATGTACGTTCAGTAATAATAAGATTAGGTAAAAACATATAATTATTATTTTTTATTTTGTCAAAACTTTTATCAATTTTAGCTATTTATATATATTATATAGGGGTTGTACTTGGGCGACATGGTGGATTTATAAGTCAGCTTTATCCATTCTTTCGTTTTGGTTTTGGAATATGTATGGGTAATGGTTCTCAATTCTTTCCTTGGATACACATAGACGACGTCTGTCGTTTAGTGTTGTTCGCTATTGAAAACAATGAGGTTGAAGGTATTGTCAATGGAGTTGCACCTGAAGTAATGTTTAATTTTTTCCTTAACTTAAAACGTTATAGTTAATTTTATTGTTTTTCAGATAATTACCCATCATTACTTTGCCAAGAGCTTTGTTGAAGTCTTTGGTCATAGTTTTGTATTAAAAGTTCCTGGATTTATTTTCAAGTTAATATTTGGAGCGGAACGTGCAAAAATGGTTTTAGAAGGACAAGCTGTCAAACAAACCAAATTAGATGGCTTAAATTTTTTGTACAAATTGCCTGATATTAAAACAGCATTGTGTCGTGTTTCTCAGGAATAATTTGATGTATTGGCAAAGTTTACAATCATTTTGATATATTTAAAGATGAGGTATAATCATTTGTCTTATAATATTATTGCTGTTTGTAATAATAACTCAAATTTACAATCTAATTTGAACTATTTGATTTTGAATTTTCTATTAAGAAAATATGAAAACACCTATTTATGGTAAACTATTTTATAGTGTGATGGCTTCTTAACAATAATAAATACATTCAACTCCTTAAGCAGAAAAATAAATATCTATATGAAGAAAAAAAGAAAAAAATTTATTATTTACATTTTATAATTTATTTTTCAATTAAAAATAAACCAAAAATTATCAGTCATTATTAAAATAAGTAAATTGAATATTGATATTTGTTTTAATTTCACAAGCATAAATTATTGATTTCTTATTAAGTCATAATTATAAATCTTTAATTTTACAACTGAATGTTAATTTTGTAAAAAATAAAAGTGCAACTCAATTTACAATTTTTTTTTTTTAGACTAGAGCGTTATAAATTTATAATTTTAAAACAATGTATTTAATTTTTTTATTAAAATAATTACTCTCAAGGTTTAAGTACAGTTAATTAATTAATAGATTCATATAATAATTTAATTTACAATAAGACTAACATTTACATTATTATTTCAAAATGTAAGAAAATAAAACAATTTTATATATACTATTTACAAAAAACATAATATATAATAGTTATTTTAAAATATTTACAAAATAAATTATAACAAATTAATATCAGTTAGGTGGTTTAATGTGGCAATTTATATAAGTTCCAATCATATTTATTTTAATTAAATTTTTTTTGTTATTGCAGAACAAAGATGAATGTTTCTACAAAGCTTCGTCTCCTGTTTGATAAAGCTCGGCTTGCCCGTTTCTGTGTGTCAATGGTTGTTTTTCTGGTGCACTAGATGGCCGATTGCGTTTGAAGAATCCACACTACCAAAAACAAAATATTCAGCTATTAAAATATGTGCATTTTTTACATGTTTGATTTGTAAACTTAATATATAAAAAATTATAATATTATTATTTTATATTAAACAAATCAATTTAATAAAGTCTTAGAAATATCAGTATATATTTTAGTATAATAAAGCTACAAAAATCTTATAATTTAATATTGAGCATTTCGATTAAATTATGATCACTTTTTTATGGTATTCAATTGGTTTAATATTTATGAAATAATTTTTGTAAATCAAAATGATTTGCTGGTACTACTATACCTGATATTAAATCAAGTTTGTGTGTGATAAATATCATAATATAATGTACAAATATTCGTTTCTTTAAATTATTTTTGTAAGAAATTTGTTTAATTTCCTGATTTAATATTATAAAAGATGTTTTGTGTTCAAAATAGTTTATGGTTGAAATGTCTTGACCACACAAAAATTAAAAACTGTATTGGCACTAGGCACTTTCGTCTTTATTTTTCTTTAAAAATTCTGTGAGGATTGCCATTATACAACCTCTTAAAGATGGTCCACTTGAAGACAATTATTTTAATGGTGCAAGAAATAGTATTAATATACCTAATGAGACATCAATACTGTTAAACTATAGGGAAAGATTTTAATTAAAAAAAAAAAAATTATGAATTCTACATATGGTTTTTGTAAAAATGCATGATCTCAAACATGAGCTATGTCTGATTCTAAGCTTATGTGAAGTCTCTGATGATGATATTTACCTTGTAGAGCAGATATACGAGCAGCAACAGGATAGCTGTCCCGGCGACGGCAGCCAAGACGACGATCCACAGTGGAATGATGTCTGGCTTGACAGCCAGGTCCCTGGGGATGACCTCCGTGAACACCTCGTAGCTCCTGACCTGGGCGAGTTTACTTTCCGGCTTGCCAATGTATTGGAGCTTGGTGACTTTTGCAGATAATGTGGAACTTAGTGTCACCGGTCTGTTAAGCGCCACCTGCAAATGAAAACCACATAAATTGTATTACTCGTGAGATAGGTCCCTAGTTTGAAGAAGGGTTTTTTTGGTTCTTTGCATTGCAGTTTTCAGGTAGGCAGTATTTTTGATTTTAGAAAAGGACTTTCTCAATGATCATCTATAAATACCTTTTTCAAAGTGCTGACCCAAGCCCTGGACCTGAATGACAGCCACACCTCTTGGTCTTTGGACAGCGGTCCGATCTTACATTTGACGGTCACGCACCTCGTGGGCCCGCACCTTTTGGTCTGCGTGTCCCTCCGGAAACGGGTGTACAGCTTAAACTTGCCATCGACGTCGGCCGGCTTGACATAGTTTTGCGGGCTCAGATCCTGCGCCTCGTACACATCCGTCGAACCGCTACCGTCAGAAGTCATGTGCAACGTGTCCCAGTTACCCTCCGCGTTGGCGCGGTACAACTTTCCGTCGACCGTCCGCCACCTGTGCACCGTTTCCGATTCGTCCACTTTCGACTGCCTGAACCCCTGGTTCTGCCTTTCTGTGACGCCAGTCAAGCTGACCGATAGGTCGCTGTCGTCTCCTGTCGTACCACCTAAGACGTTGGTCACTCCTCCCGTTCCTGCCGCTATGTTCATCCTGCGCACTGCTGCGTCCCGGTAGTCCAACGCTTCACCTTCCACTACATGTGATGAGCTGCCGTTATGCACCACTCCGTCGTTGTTGGTTCGCCATCGGTCTGTCACGTACGTCTTCGGCACGCCACCTCCTGCAGTGTCGTCCCACGTTGTGTTAGCAACGTGGCTTTTTTCCGATTCCCGGAAACTCGTGAAGTTCTTGGCACCCTGGTGCCAACCACCACCACCCTGATTCCATTGTGTGCCGATCCCGTTGTCACGTGACCATTTTTCCCCTCGTGATTCGGCCGCCGTTCTGGACGTTTCCCAACCGTTAACCCCTCCGAAGCCAACGCCTTGCGAAGTCACTGATGATTGACCGCCGGACGACCATCCACCGCGTACTTCCGATCCACCACGTACTTCCGATCCACCACGTACTTCCGATCCACCACGTACTTCCGATCCACCGCGTACTTCCGATCCGCCGCGTACTTCCGATCCACTCTGTATGACGGTCACGGATGACTGACCATGGGATTCCGATCCGGCGTTGTTTCCGGACGAAACTGCCACACGAGAACCTGTACCAGCGGTCTCGAAGCGCGTACTACCGCCGGACGACGACGCACCCATCTGGAAAGTCGAACTGCCCGACGACGACTCGGACTCGTCAAAGTGTGCGGCACCATACACACCGCGGGACGATGAACCGTAGCCGCGGTAGTCGCTCTCTGCTCCACCAGCTTCGGACCAACGGTTACCCTGCGCACTCGCCGCACCGCCCGCGGAAACCGAAGAGGAACCCGAGGACGATCTCGACTCATACTCGTTGCGTACTACGCCGCCACCGCTTTCAGACGATTCCACGGTGAACGTCGGCCCTCGGTTCGCGTTGGTTACTACCGAAGTGCCGGATGCTTCGTTGCCGCGTTGGCCGCCCGTCACCACACTCGTCGACTTTGAACCCGAATATTCGCTGTGGACCACGCCTCCGCCGCTCTCCGATGATCCGACAGTGAATTTTGGCCCTCGGTTGACGTCGGTAACGACTGTTGAGCCGTAACCCTCGTTGCGGCTATGGCTCACGCCGGAACCCTCGTTGCGGCTGTGGCTCGTGCCACCGGTCACCATCGTTCCGGTTGATTCCTGTTTGGTGTTTTGGTATCGAACTTTTTGTTCGTACGAACCGTCGCCCCATTGAGATTTTGATTCTTCTTCTTCTTTCTTTTGGATTTCCATGAAACGTCTCTTTTCCTCTTCCGTCAGTTCCGCAAACGTCTTGACAACGGCACCCGTAGAACTCGAACTAGTGCCTTCTGTACCCTTAACAGTGACGGACCCACTTGAACTGCTTGAAAACAAACCACTTGATTCAAAATACGACTTCCTCTTACGATCGATCTACAAACATATATTATACGAAATCATTAATATTGAATAATTAATACTTGTTAAAATACTCATCCAGCCAATTCTTACATATAATCTTAATGGATTAATTTCTTCAATAGCTTCACATTTTACCTGGCCATTTGTTTCGGGCATTTCAAGTAAGTATAACAGTGGTTCTCCTATAATAAGACATTTCAATTTATTAAACTAAATTATTATTTATTTTATTTTGTTTTATCAATTAAAGAAGACGAAAAATTAAGTCAAACATTATTTAAAAACATTGTTAACAAATTGATGTTTCTGTTCATATTTTGTACATGCATATTTATACTCGATCAATTTATAGTTAAATTAAAATGTATGTACCTGCCAATGTGAACATAGGCCAGTCAATGTAAGCTTCGGCTTCTAATATATCAGAAGGACCCTTATTTCGAATTCCATATATGTGAATAACTTGTGGGCCGATCTGCTTTTCATCGGTAATATTGAGAGAGTCTTCCATTGTAATATTATAATGTACTTCCACGGGTTTTGACGATCCTACAATGATCAAATCGGTTTCGGCCCAAAGAGGTACTCCTAAGTATTTCGTGTTATCTGACACGGAATCAAAACGTTCGGGATTTGTGCTGTTCACCACCATGTTGAATTCGTATTTCGCTTTAGTTTCAGTAGTTTGATATGGTTCCAAAACAACTTTAAATTGAACCTATTAAAATATATAATTAATGAGCGAACTATTTAATTAAATATATTAATTTATATTAATTTATTTTATTTATTTCTATTCAAAACTACGAAAGTATGAAATACAGTTAATAGTTATAAATGTAACTAACATATTTATCTCGGGGCAATGGATTCCCAATGTCACAATGTAAAGTGTTGTTTGTCATTTCTGAAGGAGCTGAACATTGTACAGGTATATCGTTTTCATTATCATCTACCCTTTCTATTTTTACGTAATTAATGCCTGGAGGTACAGTCATATCAAAAGTGGTCTCAAAAGAATCTTCACCTTCGTTTTGTACTATAACATCAACTTTTAATTTTTTATTAGATCCTAGTAGGAAAGACTCGGAATCCCTAAAAATAAAAATAAAATTAT